TTTCTTTCTTTCTTTCTTTTTTTTGCCAGCACATGTATATATGGCTTAATGTGGAAAGGAAATGAAAAACTTAATCTAAGAGTTAAAATGTGTTCAGCAATATGTTTTTCAAACTTAAGTGTTTCTGTCTGCCATTCTCTGTGCCTAAACCTTGCTATTCTGTGTACAATACACAGAACAATTGTGGCAGTAATCTGTACTATGGTGTGTAAATGCAGTGAATTGTGGTTGACAGGGGGAATTGTAAGCTTGCAGTGAGTTGCAAATTGAATCCAAAGATCTGTATTAAGGACAGTATTACAGCTGCTTTTTAAACTTATTGTTAGATAAGTACTGTCAACTTTTGATTATTCAGAAGACGAGTGAAATCCAATGAATTTAAATATTTTGCCAATTGTGTGTAAGCTGAAGAGATTTATGTTAGGATTATTTATTAAAACGGGGTCTTAAACTATTAAAATGGAAGTTTTACAAATCTAGGGCTAAAATGTATGCACACTAATTCAAGTAGATTTCTTAACGTATCAATAGAGACATTATGTATAATTTACTATATACCTAAAATACACACAGGAGTACTTACCCTCGTCTGCATTCTACATAATTAAGCTAACGTTTCTAGTCTAGTTCATAGTCTCACAATGTCTCACTCACTGAAAACCATGACCAGTCATGGTTAATCTTTGCCAGATGTAGATATATTTATCTTGTGCAGTAGATCTATAAATGATTGTCAGGATTCTTCTAAAGGAACCCCAAAATTTCAAACCTACAAATGCATGATCAAATTATGACAAAAAGAATAAACACTGAAATTTAATGAATACTTATTAATCTCTCTTCTCCCTTCTCCTATCCAGCCAGTGTTGGTAGAGTAAATACCAGTGATATGGCTAAAAAGTGTGTAAAGCAGAAGGGAGAAGAAGTGAGGGAATGACTCATCCACAAATGGATGAGCTAAATCCTGAATAATCAAGAATTGCTCCAACATCAACTAGACACCTCTTGTTATTCCCTGTTTTTCATTCTGCCATTTTAGTATCATAATATCACTGTTTTCCATTGTTTAACGTTATGGAGTAACATTTGAAAATATGCTGAAATGTAATTACATCAATGGCAATTCATTATATTCGCAGCTTTTCTAAAACTAATCATGCTTTGTTGACAAAAGCCAAGTTATTTTTATGTAACAATACTATTCTATCATGTTTAAATTCATAAGCCTCTGTTGAAATATAGTTCATCATCATTAGAATTGGCTTTGGGTATTACTTAAGATTACACATGGTCATGATACATTAAGTATAATATTTATAAAGGGGATACATTTAAAATTTTACCTAGCTATAAAATTTCCTATATAGAAAAATGAAAAGAGTAAACAGCATATTTTGCATCATTCTGAAAAAATTTTTGTAAGTAGAGCAGTAACTTCATCATTAAATACTTTATTACATCATTAAATACATAAAATACTTTATTTTTATCAAATTTCTCTCACTTTGTTACTGCTAACTTGACAATTTAATATACTTTAAAGAGCAATTCTTAGAAATCATGAAAGTAGAAGACAAACTACTTAAAATACTTTAATTCATTAATCAATATTGGAATAAAATTATTTAACCTTTTCTAGAAATGTTTTCCTGATACTATTCTAATTGTCATTTGTAATATAATTAGAAAAGTATTAAACAGGATTTTTTAGGAAACGTCATTGCTGCTGAGAACAATTTTAACTTGCAGAAATGATCTTATTTCTCCCCAACCTTTTCACTGAAAATCACATTGCATAAAGGTATATGTACATTGCCTGCATTATAATCATGCTATTTTCTAAATCTCTGCACATTACTTTGACAGCTTATGAAATGACAAGTCAGATTTTAAAAACATCAGCATTCCATTAAAAATACACATAATTTATGGCAATATATAAAATGCGATGCTGTGTTTTCAGAACTCCGTTTCTTCCATGGAAAGAGGGATGGGGAGGAGGTGGGATGGAGGGAGAGAGAATTTTCATAGTCTGACCTTCCATGTGCATCTTAGGGGATAATCAGATCATAAGTTGACCTTGAAATAAAATCTTATATTTGGGAAAATTTAAACAAATTTAACTTAAAATCTAGATATACGGAATGTTCGGAAGAAAGAAAGATTTTATTTGCCTGTAAACCCAAGCTCTCTAACTGCATTTACTAATCAAATACAACTCCTCAAAACATCTGTTCTTTAACATGACATAGATGTCATTAAAAATTTTAGATTTGTGCAATTTAAGTACATATATATAACATTAGGACTTTTGAACCTGGATTCTGGGTTTATAAAGCATATGATAAAACATATGTTTTAAAATTTCATTTTAATTACTAATTATTTAAATTCTCTAGCAGAGAATGATTATTTTCAGGTTAAGAAATTTTAGTCCCTATCACCTGACTTAGGTCCAAAGTATGCTAGTGAACACACATGAATACCCACATCTATGCAGTTCTTCATGATTCATAAATTGTAGAAACACGAGAATATTAATTAGCTCATAACTGAAAATGCTATGAAGTATAGATTGGGTTACCATAGCGTCAAAGAAGTATGTGTTCAGTTTCCACCATTAAATATCTTCCTTCTTTTAGAATTTTTGGTATACGATGTTATCACTACAGAATTCTCATTTTACAGATGAATAAATAATTGTATGTAATTTGAAGTACTTTGCTCAAAATCATATCTCAGAGTAATGAGAAATTAAAAGAGTATGGACTTTGGCGTCAGGTTCCTGGTTTAGTACTAACAGGTTCCTGGTTTAGTATTAACCCTGCTACCCACTAGCTGTGTTATCTAGCCAAGTGATTTAAATTCTCTAAGCCTTCATTTTCTCATCCATGAATGATTAACAAAAATCTATGTCATAGACTTATGCATTTTCCTATCATATAGGAAGAAGAAATCTTAATTTTCACCTATTATTTTTACATTAGTGCAATGTTTGTCAACTGGGGAGATTTTGCTATTCAGGGGACATATGGCAAACATTTTGTCTTGTCACAACAAAGGGTCAACTGTGGTGCCATTCTTCTGGTATTTGGTGGGTAGAGGCCAGAGATATTGTTACATATTCTATAATGCACAGAGTAGCCCCTACAACAAAGATTTATCCAGCCCATAATGTTAACAGGGACAAAGCTAACAAATTCTAATGTAGTAGAAAAGAGAAAAAAAAATTAAGCTCAAGTTTCTTTTATCCTGATGCTAGTCAGTAACTAGCTATTTTATAGTCTATTGCATAACTAACAATAGTCATTTTGTTTCAAAATGAATTTTTACTGTTTTCTTTTCATTTTTGCTGATGATTATCTTCCATGACTACCTTATAGATCGATTAATAGATAGATATAGATATAGATAGATATAGATTATTTTGTACTCTGGTGTCTTGTAGTTTTAATACCCTCTAATGTTTAATATTCACATTCTAAGAAAGAAAGAACGGTTTCCACCATAAGTATAAATTGCTTTTTTTTTAGCTAATTGCCATTTACTAAAACTCCCCTAAAAAATCAAGAAAACATAAAAGGAAAAAGAAACCTAAGATATTATTTAAATAAGCAATTATTTCCAATACTAATATATGTAGAACCTAAGTACACATTTTAAAATTTTCTATTCCCTGATACTCTCTTGAGATTTACATGTTTCCAAAGCTATCGAATTTGACATATAATGATTCTAATGTCATTGTATCCAATTCTAAAGAATTCTAAGATACTCTGAATGCAAAAATATCCTTTGAGTATAATGTATTCAATAAGGTAATTATCTAAAGAAATCTAACACGGCAAACAGTTTTGTCACTTAAAAATCTTGATTTGTTATTTTTTCCTATAATTAATGTTATCACTTGCCAAACATACCTGAATAATTGTATTTGCCAAATATATACTCTAGGAGTATAGAATTTCTGAATATCCTATGAAATAACAATTAAGAACCATGGATTTTGACTTTGAGCTCCATAATATGCTGTTAGTTTAGAAATCTAAACATTTATAATTTTCTTTTGACTAATAAGCTTGTTTAAAAGAAACAGTAGAAATATATCTTGGTTGAAAAGATTTTCTGAGAATGTGTAATCTTCAGAATGCTCTAAATGCCAGAAGAGCCTAGATATTATTTGGTAGAGGAAGAAAGCTCTGGTACTTTGGGTTCCAAGTAAAAAATAAAATATTTGAAAGTGTTATAAGAGCAATGTAGTGAAAATTATCCCATAAAGATATCTGGTGTATAAAATGATTGTACTGACTGAGTCCTTTGAAGATTTTGGTCTTCAGCTGCTTAACTGTAAAATTTTAAAAGTATATTTTATGCTTCTTTTAGCAAAAAAAAAAAGAAAAAAATTGTTTTTCCTATTGTAGGTCCATATTTTCAAAATTGTTCAATGAAATTGTACCTTTAATTTAAATATGTTATTGGTAAGCATGTGCAAATTTGTTTTTCCACCACTCTGTGCCACCAAAATAATGAAGCCTAAAAAAGGGGGCAAATATATATGATAGCACCACTTATTATTATAAGTTAAATGTTTGACTGCAAACAGATTTTCAAGGTACAATTTGGGGGACTGCCTTTGAAAATTGGACCCCATAAATCTAAATTGGGACTGTAATCTAATTAGTTTCTGCAAAATGTTTGTGTCTTTGCCAGCGTGAAATATTGAGGTGTGCTACCAAGTGAATCAATACATACATCCAATGTGTGCTTTCTTCATGCAGGGATTTGAGACGGCTTGGAGTGACTCTTGTCGGTCACCAGAAGAAGATCATGAACAGCCTTCAAGAAATGAAGGTGCAGCTGGTAAATGGGATGGTGCCATTGTAACTTCATTCCAATGTCACTTCATCAAGTGAATGATTCTGCACTTTGTAAACAAGCCCTGAGATTTATTTTAACAAAAAAAAAAGGGGGGGGAGGGAACACTCAGTGATTTCTAAACCTTAGGAGAGCATTTGTTTCAGCCACAGAATTTGTAATCAGTGTTTTGCTAAAATCTCCTTATCTTCCTCAGTGTCTTCATTTTTCATGAAGCAAATATAACCTGCAAGGAATAAAAACATGAGGTTAAACATTATCTTATGTTGCAACAAGAAAATCCTTTCCACTACTTCTACAAAATTTTATAAATGAAAATTATAACTATATATATAGAACCTTTACAGACTGAATTAAGGCAGCCCCTTTCAAAACTTCCAAGAATCTACTTGAAAGGAAAAGTTTATAGCCATTTGTGGGCTAACAAAAGCTGCAATTTACTGAAGTTTACTTCAAGTCTTATTTGTCTACATAAGTGTATTGAAGAGCAATATGATTAGGTAATTTCTTAATAGATACCTTCTTTTGTAATTTTAAAATGCTGTTACACAGCGTTAAGTTATAGACTCTAGTGTATAAATATGTTGCTTGATCAAGGACGAGTACAATACAGGGTGCATTATTTATTTTTCTGTGTTATAAAATTTACTTTTAGTTGCTCTTCTAGAAACTATTAGGTAATAAATGTGTATATACTGTATAATTTGCTATATACCCAGGAATCAATTTAAGTTGGAGTTTTGTGTGTGATGCTTGCACATGTGTGCGTTATCATTCTGCTTGCATTTTTAATAGTGTTTTTATTTTAGCAACATACAGGAACAAGTGTTCCACAGTGTAATATAAATAGGAGAAGTAGGGAAGCAGTAAAACGAAAATTTAACACAAGCTTGTGTCTTTCTTCCTCTCGTATGTCCAAAAGCTACTAAATCTCTTTATTCATTAACAGGAAATGTCTATAAGATTAAATCCCCTTTGGCTTTTTGAAAACACTTTGTGATATCAGTGACAATGCAGTTCTTCTAGCCATTAATCTTGCACCCCTGTAAGAAATTTCACCTTTCTGAGTCCCAGAAAATATCTTGTCAAGCAAAGTTGACACCGAAGGGCACATTTTCAGCAGGATATAGAAGGATTTAACTGTGCAGGCTTCCGTTAATGTTGTTAAATCCAGGCACATAGCACTAAGCATTACCCCTAAGTGTTAATCCTTCGTAACCATTTCCCTTGTGGTTCAGCTCTAGAAATTTTGATACTAAGGCAGCAATGGAATGATGAAATATATATATAAATATATATATATACATATTTCCTTCAGAATTGTCTTTGTTTCAAAACAAGTTTTATTTGTTGATGGCTGTTTATTCATTTGATAATTTCTTCTTGTATTCAGTTTCATCAAATTGAACTTATTTTGATAAACCAGTCCAAAGTATTATTTAGTTGGCCTTATTAAGGAATATAAGATATGTTCTATGTATATTTTATGTATCACACTTGGTGAAGACAGACATTTGTGTTATAAATTATATGGTTTATTAGAATTTGAACAAAATTGAGCTCCTTGGTGAAATAAATTTTTATAGTATTACATTTTATAGAAACCATGGGATGACATGTGATTATTCAAGGAGTATTGCATTTGAAGAAAATATAGCCTATGTATGTTATCAAGGGCAATAGTATATTGGAGTAGTCTGGATTAATGAAATCCATAGAAAATATACCTGCATGATATTAATGGTATTCTGTCTTTTCCAAGCACTTGTTTTAGTTGAATATTAGCACATACAAGAATAAACCTTTAAGGAATAACTTCTTTCTACTTTGCCAACCTTTTACTTAAGCAGTAAGTTAACTCTTTGCTAAAGAACATGGCAAAAAAAAAAAAAAAAAGGAAAAACCAAAGGTTCTAAACAATTCTCAGATGGTATATTTAGTTTGGCCCAATTATGGCTATAATTACTTATTAGATTTATACTATACCATGGGTCCTAACAAAATACACTTCAAGTATACTTTAATAGATAAGTGAAATTTGCAGAGAAAGTAGAAAAAGGTGGATTTAGCATTGTCTTGATAAAATCACAAGTGGGCATCACCATTATGAAAGATGCCTTTGTTCATTTCAAGAAACAAAATGAACTGAACTAATTCTTTCTGTACAAAATAATTGGAGACATGTTGCACTTTATTGAATTTCGTAAAAACAACTGAATTTAAGTCATAAAGTAACAATTGAGAACCTTCAAAGTAGGAATAGACATATTGATTTAAAATACAAACTACCATAAATGTTAGGACTAGCCACAATTACTTACACATAACAAAGATATTTTCTGAAAGTCTTCTAAAAGTTATATGTTCAAAAATGATTTAGGGGTCAGCACAGAGTTTATCTAAGTGATTAGAATTTAAAGTTACAATGTAGATTTCCTCTTTTCACAAAAGAACAGTGTAAATTAATATGAATCGATTCCTTTGCAATTCTGGCATTCCTTTGGGAAAGTAAATTGAGATGAAAGTTAGACACATCGATTTCATCTACATCTCACTTTGGTTGAGAATTTCTAAGGCATGGCAATATGGTTTTAAAATAAATAAAGAGATTTTCAAATAAGATCTGCTCTCCCCCCACATAAAAAAAAAAAAAGGAAAGAATTCCTTTCTAAAATATTTATTCACCACTGGATATGTCACCAATTGGGAAGTGCCAATCTCATCTATAAATGTGAGAAGTGGAACCAGGAGAGGAGGCAGCTCTTGTGAAATGCGGGGAGGCAGTAACCCAGGGTGAGGAAATCTTGATTGCGTGATTTCTTATCCTTTTGGTTCATTTTGTCACCCACCAGACAACTAAAAATAAAACATAGACCCAATAATTTTAGCACATAAGATAGATTTGTCAAATAATACATAATGTTATTGTAACTATCAAGTAGCAATACCTTTAAAGCATGAGTCATTCTCAATGTTGAACTTGGAAAAATAGGCACAAGCAGGGAGTTTTTTTCAACTTACTGATACCTGTGGAAGTCACTCAATTACTACTTTTATCAATCATAATTTGTTTCCTAATCTTCCCATTTGCTCACATGTTCTTCTTGGCCATTGAAATATCTAAATTGTATGTAAAAATGTAAAGATTTTGCTTTTCCCATGTAAAAAAAATGTGCATGGTCTTTTATTTATTCTCTTTTAATCACCAAATCAGTGTTCTAAAGTTGTAGGATTTCTGTAAAAATTATATTCCAATACTCTATCTAAACTTAAATGTGGCCAGCATTATTAGTTTCAGAGTTGCAAAAACAATACAGAACATCCTTCTCTTAGTTTGTAAAGAGTTTTAGCCAGTGTGCAATGGTGAAGAGATAATTTCACATCTTAAGTTTAAAATGAAAAATTAATATCTGTTGAACACTTATGTGTTTGCATGTCTGCTATTTAATCTCTATGTGAAAGTCAAAGATTTTTTTTAACACCATTATTTCTCCCATTTAAAGTGGGCTTGCAGAAGCACAAGTAGAAAAATTTACCTGTGGAAGACATTTTTGTTTGTAATGGTGTGTTGGATGGCAAATTTGTGTCAGATATTAGAAATTTACTAGATGTATAATGTTGCATAGTAGGATAAGGTCTTTTTCCCACTTTTTTTCTTTCTAAAAATAAGAAGACGAAAAGCTAAATATGATAGTAAACTGTGATTGCTTATGTCCTGCCAGATGTTTAAACTCAAAATAAATAAAAAGTAGGTACAATATGATGATGATGATGATGAATAAACAATCAAAATGCTAGTTTTATTTGAAATTAATAACTAGAATAAGTCATCATTTTTTCAACTCTGTAGCACAGCTGGTTACATTGAATATTTTTCTCTATTATGCTGTTAATTATATAGTAATGTATCAAAGGAGAAATAGATAAGAACTTTCTTTTCATGTTGGTTTATAAAAACATCTTTTTACACATAAATGATTGAATGTTCTTATTCAGAATGACCACAAAATTATTGCTTAGGAGAAGACACAATTCTTAAAAAAAGAGAGAGAGAGAGAGAATCTATTTATTATAATCAGAATCAAATGTCATTTGTTTCTTCTAAATGTAAATGAAAAAAATTGAAGGTGGCAAAATAAATCATGTTTATTCAGTATGGACTATATTAACAGTAGAGATTTTAGTGGTCAAAATATTTGTGAATCTTTAGATTGCAATAGTTTTACATTTAATAATTTTACAGTTTGTAAATTTCATTTATAATAGTCTGAGAATAAAACTTAGACTCAGTCATTTGTTAATATGTTTATTAAATTCTCTTAGAAGCAGCTGTATAGAGTATCTTATTCTAGGCTAGGCATCAGGATATCTCAAATCCGTGCCTAAGCATTAATTCAAGAAAGGATTAGTGTTTCTGTATTTTTCCCCCATTTGAAGCTCTCTGTGCATTTGGTTTGTGTATATGTTTTTGTAGTGTAAGATATGAAATTTTATATTTTTTCAGAAAATAAAAAACCCTTTGAATACAGTTAAATCCAATTGTCATGCTTGACCCTCCCCCAAAAGATTCTAAACTTACAGCCTTTTTTTTTTTAAAGATTTTATTTATGTATTTGACAGAGAGAGACACAGCGAGAGAGGGAACACAAGCAGGGGGAGTGGGAGAGGGAGAAGCAGGCTTCCCATGGAGCAGGGAGCCCGATGTAGGGCTCGATCCCAGGACCCTGGGATCATGACCTGAGCCAAAGGCAGACACTTAACGACTGAGCCACCCAGGCGCCCCTAAACTTACAGCCTTTGTATGATGATTTCAGTTAGTTCTAATAAAAATGTTTGAATTTCCTATGCTAAATATTTAAAATGCAATTAGCATTCATTTTCTTCAAAGACATATTCATGAATCTTTGTATTCAAGTATTTTTGCAACCAGAGTTTGACATAAGACTGTAGGACATGAGCATAATTGTGTGAAACCTAATTAGAAGTTGATTTGTGACAGTGTAATACAACATTACTTAGAAAAAAAAAACACACAAAATTGTGTGTCCCATCTGCAAAAAGAGACTCTGCTGTCTAGCATTAGTTGATCATCTTCTCATTGCCCTGCATCTGCTTATGGTATAGGGTGGAAGAGTTACATTCTTAAAAGAAAGGGTGTCAGTAAGTACAAATGCTCCCTCTTTTTCTGTATATATTGTATCATATTGGTCTCCTTTTGTAAAAAGCATACCAAACAATCTGCTGCATTCAAGGAAATTAATCATATTTGTAAATTTTTGCATTTACATTCATGAAAAGTGACATCACCACACCTATGGAAATAATCCTTAACTCCTTTGCCTATACACAGAATCAGTATTAGAAGGTATATATATATATAATTTACTATTTTAGTAAATAGCCTCATGTAAAGACTCTGAGTACTTTGTTATCAAATAGACTATTCTTGCCTCTCCTTTGCTGCAAATGTAAAGATCTAATGATAAAAGGGATTTTTCTCTCAATCCTATAGACATTCTTGATCAGGTAGGAGGGATGGAGTGGTGGTGGGAGGTAAATGTTTAATAAGAAGGCACTATTCTGTATTAGAATTTTCCACACATACCTTTAAGATAAGTTTATTGTCTCCAATTTACTGATGAGGAAACCATGACCCAGCTGTTAAGAAATTGCCCAAGTCCTGACTGCTCTTCAAAGGCAGGGTGAAAACCACATTCATTTGAAACCAACCCAAAATGTTGCCCATGCTATCTAGATGATGGAATCATTTAGGCCAATCTCCTGATTTAATTGGTGGAAGAACTGACATTTAGCAAGAAAGAAATTATCTGAATATTTCCACAAAGTGAAGTGTAAACCTTGGTTGGGAACCAGGATCTGAGTGATTACATTTCTAACATATTTGATTTTTAGAGTAAGCCAAACCTTGGGAGTCAAAAATAGTTTTTCTTATTTATAATTCATCCACTGAGTAGGAGCACAGTTTAATTCAGTGTATCTTTCTAGTACAGGCATAGTTTTCTCAACTACAAGCACAGAAAATGGCAATACATATTTATTATTTATTTCCATCTATAATATCTGAACTTTGCTTGTGGAACTTTGAGGTCTACAAGTGATTCATGACCAAATTGTTACCAAAAGTAAAACATATTGATATTTATTAAAATTCATAGTAGCCATTTAAATCAAGTAGAGTTTTATATAAAATATTAAATGTCATTTTACTTGAATTAGTAGGCTAAAAAATAATAAATTGGAATAAAGCTGGCAGAAATATTGAACTATGGATGATTTTTTTCATAGCAAGAGCTATTAGTTCTTAAATCGTCCCCCTAATTTTTTAAAGTTGATAATGAAAAATATTAATATGTTGAGGTTATTAATTTCAAAGTTTCTTAGTGATCCTAAGTTTTCAGAAATTAAAAATTTGTATCCAATCCTTGCAACAGTCCTTTAAGTGAGATATTTATTCTGTTTTTCTTTTGAAAAAAGGTAGAAATCAAGGCTATGCAAGGCTAAGTGACTAAGTGACTTTCTTCAGATCTCTTAAAGTTAATCCTCTGCCTCTGAGTTCCAGATGATGCTCTCCTACCTGCTTTGAAATCTGTTCCATCAGTTGCACCTGGTCTTGAATGTCTTTGCCTATCAGTCTCTGTGGTTCCCTCACCTAGCCTCTACATGTACGTGAGGGAGTCTATAGAGTGTGCTCGTCTGGGGCCAGCATGACAAAGCCTGCTCTGTCACTCGCTAGTTGTTTGAACTCAGGCGAGCCATTTAACCTCCCTGTTTTCAAGTACCTCATTTATTAAATGAGGAAATCTTTTGACCATTTTGAGAATCTAAGAATACATATATAGCTAGTAAAAATAGTGCTGACCACATAATAACTGTTTAGTAAATGTTATTTATCTTTATATATCTTCTTCACTGAAATCTTTTTCCTCACTGAAATCTTTGTTCTCACTCTATAAATGTCATCAAAACTTCCAAACACACATAAAATTTGATAAAATTTTAATAAATTCCCTTGTAAATATAAGCCAGCTTCAACAATTATCAACTTAATGCCAATTTTGTTTTGTACATAACTTCAGTGACTCTTCTGCCAGATTAAAAAAAAAGCCCAGACATTTTATCATTTCATAAATAAATACTTCAGTGTATATTTTCAAAATAGAGGGATTATTTTTAATATAATCATAATACTATTAAACTATCTAAAAATTCACAGTCTTTCAAAACATTTTCAAATATCCAATTGGCATTCCCCTGTTTCATCATACATATTTTTTTATAGTTCCCTTGAGTCACTATCCAAATGTTCCCTTTATTTCCTATAAATTGGCAATTAGACTCACAGATTCAGGTGTGTCAGATTCAGGTTTCATTTTTTTTAAGAAGACACAAGTACTGTGTATTTGCATCAGTGCACAAAGTAAGCTATCTTTCTATGATGTTAACAGTAATTGAGGATCATTGCCAAATTATTATTCATTAATAATTTTGAAATGGTGATTTTCATCATTCTTTTTTCATCTAATTACCACACTACTTTTATAAAGACTAATTTCCATTTATCAACTATTTAGTTACTCAGAGATAGAGTTTATACAGGCAAAGCAGAGAAGTTGATTGGTGTTATTTTTTTTTCTGTCTTTAGGCTCAAATATCCCCTCTGTAACTAATGTTGTCACTACTAATGTTCTAACAGCATTAAGAAGGTCACCCTTAAATATTCCCCCTTTCTTGGTATCCAAGAACTCAATCTTTTCTGCTTTGCCTGCGTTTCCGGCCATTTATTCTCAGTTAATTCCACTAACTTTTATTATTCTGCCATTCTTTTAAATGCTGAAATTCCAGGATTGTTTTAGTACTCTTCCCATTCCATACTATATGCTTGCCCTTAAAAATTGCATCAACTCACAAGTCTTCAATTTTAACATTTATGGGAATGGATTTTCATACTGAATCTCCAGGGCTGATATTTCTCCAAAGATAGAGCTCCATGTGTATAAATTTATACTGAAGATCTCTAATTGACTTTTCTAAATGAGCATATCTCAGCTGACCTTACCTTCAGCACGACTTATACCTTCTCCCATAGTCCCACTAGAAGATACTACTTTATATAGAGTTAACAAATATAGATATCCAAAATTTATATTTTAAATTCCCTTTTCCCTCAGCATCATGTGAAACTTGTCATAAGATTTTATTAGTTTCACGTTAAATGTGTTTCTCATACATATTACTAGCAGATGTAGAAAAATAAGCAAAAGTCAAAGGTAACACTAAGTAGGAAACATAGCTTAGAAAATTTAATATATCACCCAAAATCAAAAGGACACTCTTGCTTGGTATTTTATTTTATGCACTTTTATGATGGGAATTAAATGGGAATCTTACACCTTTGAGCAATCAATAATAAACAGTAAACAATAATTTTATCCAAAATTTTTCCACTATTATAATTTTGGATCATGAAATTAGAAAACAAAATCTGGAAAGTATCAGACTGACTTTTCCTTTGTCCAAATAGATATGCCCTGTAGAGAAGGTCCTCTGAACCATGTCAGCAAATAAATTGACTTGGATTACGCTGAAAAAAATTTCTTAAAGATAATAAACATTTAGTCACAGTCATTTGAAAGGATAATCCTTGAAGGGTTTCCACTCTGATAGAAGGATAAAGTAAAATGATTTACTGCATGTTCCCTGGAGTGGCAACAGCCCTAACCATACGAGTTATGGAAGTCAGACCAAACAACAAATGTTTTTCAAATATTCCTTTTTTCTCTACAAATATGTGAAATCAATTATAATGGATATTAATATCAAATAAAATATTTCAGAATGTGCAATCTAAGTGTGTTTTCAGGTGAAGTATATTGTAGACTTCTCAGTTCTTGGCTTTGCTCATGCTGAAGAAGGCACCAGAATTATGATCTAATTTTTGTGTAAAGCCCAAGTCTTTCTCAGGATTTTCTGAAAGTTTCCCACATTTAATCATGGGCTGTTCCTTTATGTCCTGTCAAAGCACATAGTCATAATACAGAAGAAAGCTTCCAAAAAATAAATGCTCCTTTGTGCTTTATAAAAAAGTGGTTCAAAAGTCAAAGTCATTCATATAGGCTTTGGAAACTTTGCTTATATTATCCTCCATTGGAGCTTCACAAAACATCCTAGAAATACAAAGACTCACCTAAGTTTAATTTAATGATTCCCCGAATATTTGGCTTATAGTAGTTGTTACCACTACCACATGGTAATTCTAAGAGTAGATTGTCATCCAGGTGAACACTTCTCAAGTTAACCACAAGAATGTTATATTTTCTCAACCAATGGTACTCTGGGGAAGCATTAATGAGAAGATATCCACTCGGAGTTGTATGTGTATTAGTGCAATGTATCTGCATAACGTTTCATCCATACTTATGCCTGCTTTTCCTGGAGATCAATGCCATAGTGAAATTATGGTGTAGTTGGGGGGTGGCATAGGCTCTAAAGCATATAAAACTAATTAGTCAAC